TTTGAAGACCCTTGTCCTAAATGAATCTCACAGGAATGACATAAAAGGAGACTGGGTATGAAGAAAGCAAAATGAAAACAATAATAATTGTAATTGGCTTTTGTAAAACAAAAAACAAAAACCCACTGAAAGGAGAGAAAGACAATTTAGAATTAAGTAACACTTGAATGTCAACAACTCCTAACCCCTTTGAAGATGAGGCTGGTTCCGGACTTGATGGTGTCACCATTCAGGTTTCCTCTCTCGGCTCCGTAGACTTCAGGCCAGAGGTCTGGATGGAGGTTGCTGTTGAAGTCATCCTTTAGCACAGTTGGGAGAGGAACAGTAGGCACACAATAAGGCCCTCCAAAACCTCTGTCACACCTGAAGGAACATGGGTGGGAGAGCATTATTGGTTGTGTAAGGAGCATGGATAGATTTGGAGGATGTGCTAAGCTTGAATTGCCTCTTGTGCAATGGTGGGATTCAACCAGTGTAACAACCGGTTCGGTGAGTGGGGGCTTTGCACGCACATGCAGCGTTTTAAAAATGCCCATTTTCAGCTCTAATACTTACCTTTTACTCAGGGGTGGGATACGACAGGGTTAACTACCGGTTCGGGATTTACAAGGTTCGGTGATTTATGATGTGCTTCCCTGCATGCTGCGAGTGCGTGCCTGTAAATCATCATCAGCACGCTGCGTGCAGAGAAGCAGCCTTTGAAACAACCCTCTTTTCCTGTATTTTTTAACTGCAGCTGTGCCTCGTTCGGCAGCTGAAGTTGAAAAATCAGGAAATAAAGATCAGGTAAGAGCCCGGGTGGGCAAAAACATCAGCAGACATAGAACCGGTTCTATGTCTGCTGCTCTTCAGAGCTACTGGTTCTACAGAGGTGGACGGAACCGGTAGAAACCCACCCCTGCTTTTACTGCAGCCCCGGTGAGCAAAACATCTGAGGCGCAGCAATCCACTCTGCCGTGTGAATCAGCTGAGCTGAGCTGAGCTCAAAAACAAGGAAATAAAGCACAGGAAAGGGTAAGGGCGGATGGGTGGGGCCACATGATCACCGGAATAACCGGGTCGCCCAAACCAGTCTGAACCGGTAGAATCCCCACCCCTGATTTTGTGCCCAAACTCATATTCCTCCATGCTTTCATAGTACATAAAACATAGAATGGTGAGGTTGGGAGGGTCCTTTGAGCAATGGTGGTATTCTACTGGTTCGGACTGGTTCTGCTGAGCCGGGAGCACCGATGAACAGCGGAGACCGAATCAGTTCTCTCTGTTGGGCCCACCCGCCTGCCCGGGGGTCCAGTATTCACCTTCATTCCCTGCTTTTCAAGCAGAGTGCGGCAGCTGCTGAAGTGACAGGGAGAGTGCAGGCTTGCAGGAGGTGAGTAGGAAAGCCTCTGCGCATGCACAAAGTGTGTATTTGGTGCACGCGTGTGCACAAAGTGTGTGTATGCACGTAAAGTGTGGCCATCAAGCCATGCCCACCAAACGGGTGGTAAAAATCTTTGAATCCCACCACAGCCTTGGAGGTCTTCTAGTCCAACTCCCTGCCTACAGCAGGAGATCCTATACTATTCCAGACAAATGGCTGTCCAGTTTCTTCTTGGAAACCTCCAGTGATGGAGCACTCATAACTTCCAGAGGCAAGTCGTTCCACTGGTTAATTGTTCTCACTAACAGGAAATTCCTCCTTAGTTCTAGGCTGGATCAATCTTTAATTATCTTCCACCTGTTACTTTTTCTCTTGCCCTCAAGTGCTTTGGAGAATTAGTCAACCCTTTCTTCTCCATGACAAACCTTCAAGTACTGGATGATTGCTATTACGTCACCCCCAGTCCTTCTCTTCATTAGACTGGACATAGTTAGTTTCCTCAATCATTCATCATATAAGGTAAAGGTTCCCCTCACACAAACATGCTAGTCCTTTCCGGCTCTAGGGGGTGGGTGCTCATCTCTGTTGCAAAGCTGAAGAGCCAGCGCTGTCCAAAGACGTCTCCGTGGTCATGTGGCCAGCAGGACTAAATGCCGAAGGCTCACAGAACGCTGTTCCCTTCCCACCAAAGGGGTCCCTATTTTTCTACTTGCATTTTTACATCCTTTCGAACTGCTAGGTTGGCAGAAGCTGGGACAAGTAATGGGAGCTCACTCCATTACACGGGGCTAGGGATTCAAACCGCCAAACTGCCAACCTTTCTGATCGACAAGCTCAGCATCTTAAACCACTGACCCACTGCATTCCTTTCCATTCCTCATATGGTTTAGCCTAAATTCCCTTAATCAATCTTGAGCTGAAGCCATGGCTTCAATAAACAAGCCAGGGTTTCATCTGGGAGGTAACTGGGGACTGCTGTTTCTTCAGTAATTTCTGCTTAGTTTAGGGGATGCATTGGGGTCCATAACCTATAATTAAAACCAAACCCAAATTCTCAGCAGCTGTATCTTAACACTAGCCCTAAATACATTCCCTCCTCCTCTTCAAAACGTTAATAATGTTTGTTTTCTTACACACAATGCCCAGAATCACAGATTCCATGACCGGAACACATCCAGGGACATCCAGTGGCCAGGATGACATTATCAATAGTCCAGGTGTCCCCACCAGGGGTATAATCATGTTGGATCCATCGGAAGCGTGTTCTGGAGGACCTGGAAAGAAAAAATAGTAGGAATTAAAAAATCAGATTGTGAGGTTATATAGAAGATAAAGAAGAAGAGACTTTGGGTATGTGGCTGTACAACACAACAGCTTACACTTCGGCAGGAATACTTAAAGACATATTATCTGGTCTTCTTTGCCATTAATGGTTCTTCTACCTATGCAGCAGTGGTGGGATTCAACATTTTTTACTATCGGTTTTGTGGGCGTGGCTTGGTGGGCGTGGCAGGGGAAGGATACTGTAAAATCTCCATTCCCTCCCCACTCCAGGGGAAGGATACTACAAAATCTCCATTCCCTCCCCACCCCACTAACCTGCTTTCCAGCTCCGTTCTCCTGTGCAGGGCAACCAAAGAAGACCCAGCCAATCAGCTGGGACTCAATGGGAGGCAGAAAATAGATGGGGTTGGCGGGGCCAGTCAGAGGTGGGATTTGCTGGTTCTCCCAACTACTCACAATTTCCGCTACTGGTTCTCCAGAACTGGTCAGAACCTGCTGAAGACTACCTCTGCTATACAGGTAATCCTCAAATTGCAACAGTGACTATTCAACAACAACACTGAAAATAAGTGACATGACTGTTTTTCACATCTCCAACCATTGTGGCAACCCCATGATCACTTAATCAAAATTCAGACGCTTGGCAACTGATTCACATTTACACTAGTTGCAGTGTCCCAAAGGTTATATGATTCCCTTTTGTGACCTTCTGGCAAGCAAAGTCAATGAGGGAAAACCAGATTCACTTAACAACCAGGTTACTAACTTATCAACTGGTTTTTCTGCAGATCAGAAGGGGCCTGGTTGGTTTCGTATGCTGCCTACATCCCGCGGATCGGGTTTTGCTTTTCTGTGTTGCCTGGTTGCTGGCAGGCCACAGCCTGGTGCCAGTCCATGGGCCGTGGGTTGGAGACCCCTTGGGCTAGAATATAAATTGAAGGCAAACCCCACTCCTTACTAACACTGATGATGTTACCTAGTATGGTAACAAAACGTCTGCAAGAAAAACAACCAAGCTCAGAAAGCGCCAAGGACCCCTCGTGTCAACCCTGAGCTACAGATATTCTCGTTTATCAGTAGTACATCAGAGGATATTTCTTACATGGCTGCAGGAGGAAGAGACAGCGTGATCCGTTTCCAATTCTGAAATCTTTCTGAACTGTAAACCGAACTCTCCGTGTAATGTTGGCAGCCGATTCTGGGCGGCACACACTCTTCCGTCACCAAGTGCCAATCTTTTCCGTTGTTCAGGGAGTACTGGAAATGAATGCCGTGGGCATCGCTGAAGGGTTTGCTGCAGCCCATGTTCAGCTCAAACTGCATAAAGGTGGAATCAGCCACGTGGAAATCCCAGGTCTCCGCGTAACGTGGCTTTCCTTAAAAAAAAGAAGAAAAAGAAGAAAAGAAGAGCAGATAAGATTATTAAAGGCCTGGAGACTAAAACATATGAAAAACGGTTGCAGGAACTGGGTATGTCTAGTCTAATGAAAAGAAGAACCAGGGGTGACGTGATAGCATTGTTCCACTATCTCAGGGGCTGCCACAAAGAAGAGGGAGTCAAGCTATTTTCCAAAGCACCTGAGGGCAGGACAAGAAGAGATAGACTTGGATAAATGGCAGAAACTATGGGATAGAAATTATAAAATTAACTATGTCAACAACTTATAAAGAAAATTTGTATAAGATGTTTTACAGGTGGCATTTCCCCCCCGGCAAGACTGCCAAAGATGTTTAAAGACAAATCAGCGAAATGTTGGAAATGTCATCAAATACCGGGAACATACTACCATATTTATTTTATTTTATTTATTTGATTTGTCAATTGTAGACATGCACAGAAGCTAAAAGATATTGGATTAAAATACACATGATTGGAAAAGATGATAAAACAATATATAGATTTAAAGTCTGAGATATTTTTACGGGGGATCCTACCTGAGAATTATAGTAAAGAAAAAATATCTTTAATTATACATATATTAACAGCAGCTAGAATTGTATTTGCTCAGAATTGGAAAAATTGAAAAGATTCCGGTGGAGGAGGAAGTGATTAAGAAAATATTGCAATGTGCAGAAATGAGTAGATTAACATCGGCAATTAGAGAACAAGAAGAAATGGAGTGCTATATGATTTGGGATTTATTTTATAAATGGTTGGAAAATAAAGTAAGAAATTAAATGATATTGTTATAATAATATATAATGATATATAATGCCGAATAGCAATAGCACTTAGACTTATATACCACTTTATAGTGCTATAAGCCTTCTCTATGTGATTTACAGAGTCAGCCTCTTGCTCCCAACAATCTGGGTCTTCGTTTTACCCACCGTGGAAGGATGGAAGGCTGAGTCAATCTTGAGCCTGGTGGGATTTGAACTGCCAAATTGTAGGCAGCTGGCTGCAGCAGACGTAGCTTGCAGTACTGCACTCTAACCACTGCGTCACAGAGGCTCATAATATGAATGTAAATGTAGTAAAAAATGTATACGAATATTAATATGTGCACAAGATATATGTAGCCAGTTGATACACTGTATAACTGAAAGATGGTTTTATTTTTTGTTCTTGTTATAAAAATAAAAAACTTTTTATAAAAAAAAAAAGAGAGAAGATGTCTGTCTCGGAGTTATTGGTTGGAATTGAGGTTTTCTGGAACACTGACATTATCCCGATGACAACGTAGTAGTGGGCCACAGACCACAGGTTGGGGACCCCTGGTTTGCAGCGAAGGGATTAGCATAATCAACATGAATAAACGAATATATCCAATGCTTCAAAACTTGAAAACGCTGGTATTCTCAAAACGAAACTAAACAAAAAAAGGATGAAAAGTGTATTCTTTGCACGATTTGAGCCTTACCTATATTTTCACTGAAGATGAGAGAGGTATCCATAGATAGACAATCGACGTTGACCTGCCCCCCTTGAACCCGGTACCAATTTGACTGCAAATCTACAGAGCCATCAAATTTATCTTGAAAACCCATTGGAGAGCTGTCGTTCATTCCTACAAGGACGTCATCCAAAGCCCACTGGGCTGAATGCTTTCCTAGAAACAAACAGGAAAGAACATGAAGGTTATTCTTTATTTTTTATTTAAGTTTGTGGTACGGAACCAGCTGGGTGCAGAGGTTAAAGACACCCAACAGCGCACTGTGAGTTCTAATCCCATCTAGAGTACAGAGCCGGGTGTGAGTGACCTTGGGCCAGTCACTTTCTCTCATCCCTCAAACGAAGGCAATGGCAATTCACTTCCAAAAATCTTGCCAAGAAAACTGTAGGGATTTTGTCTAGAGTCAACACTAACTTGAAGGCACCCAAAACAACAGCAACAATACAGATTCAATTTTTTTAACTACTGGTTCTGTGGGAGTGGCATGGCTTGGTGGGTGTGACTTGGTGGGCATGGCAGGGGAAGGATACTGCAAAATCCTCATTCCCTCCCCACCCCACTAACCTGCTTTCCAGCTCTGTTCTCCTGTGCAGGGCAACCAAAGAAGACCCAGCCAATCAGCTGGGACTCGGGAGACAGAGAAGAGATGAGGGCGGAGCCAGTCAGAGGTGGCATTTGCCGATTCTCCAAACGACTCAAAATTTCTGCTACCAATTCTCCAGAACTGGCCAGAACCGGCTGAATACCACCTCTGAAGCAATACAATTGTGATATTACGTTGACCTCAAGTGTTTTCCTCAAGCAGTTAATCTTTGAAAAGGGGCCATCTTTTGCAATTTATTTATAATACAGTAAAGAAAACAAATGAGCTTTTAAACAGCTCAGGATGAAAAATGAAAGCATATTGTGCCAGCGTAGAAAAAAAACAACCTAGTGACAAATGTATATTTTCTGAAAAACAGTACCATTTAATTATTCCCATCTGCCATAGCTCACTTTTATTATACCAACAGCGTGTATTTTCTAACTATGATCTAACTCAGGAAATTTGGCCAGTGTCTTTGAGATAACACTTTTCATATATATTTAATAGAAGATATCTCTGGAATTTCCTAATAGCAGCAAAATAAGAGGAAGGCTTTTAAATCTATTACTCATCCCATAACAGCAAATAATGGGAACTCAGTGAAGTTGTAATGTAATGCTCTGATCTTACAGTACACAGATGAAAGATAACCACATAAAATCAATGAGGAATCAATTCAGTGGTGCTTAGAACAGCTAACTAATTGCACGGTATCCTGAACAATTCACAGAATAACAGTATGTCTTGTTTATAAGAATAAGCACATTTTCTTGCACATTTACCCAAATAATAAAAATAAATGTTTCCTTTGTCAAGTTATATCCGACTCTGAGGATGGTGCTCATCTCCATTCCTTAGTCAAGGGATCTAGCTATGTCTAAAGACATTTCTGTGGCCAAGTGGCCAGCATATATACATCAAAGTGCACGAATGCCATCACCTTCCCACTAAAGTGGTATCTATTTATCTGCTCAAATTTGCATGCTTTCGAACTGCTAGGTTGGGTAGGAGCTGCAGCAAGGGATGGGAGCTCACCCCATCATGTGGGACTTGGGTCTCGAACCCCAGGCTGTCAGCTTTCCAGATGAGAAGCTCAACGTCTTCATGAAGGGGTCACACCAGAAATGCATTTATGCAAGTCAAAAGGATCCTTTATTGCTCCTAGGGGCATCATTAAAAACAAGCAAGGGAAAAGACTTGTCTGACCAACAAGGTGTCAAGAACAGATGGCGAGAAAAGAGAAGGAGAAATAGAAATAGAGGAAGAGATTATATGGACGATGAACCAACTGCCAAAGAACAAGACTTTTTGTCATGTTTATGTAGTGTAAATTGGAGGTGGTGACCCTTTGAGAGCTGTATATAATGAAATTTTATTTTAACGTATGCCGATTAGTGTACATTCAAAGTGACAATGAAATTCTATCTATCTATCTATCTATCTATCTATCTATCTATCTATCTATCTATCTATCTATTCATCCGCCCAAAATAAAACACGCTTTGCTTCTGGCGACATTGTGTTTTAACTGTCTCTCTTATATACTATTCTCCCCAGCTGCAACCAATGAGGGGGATCATGGCCACTTCCTCTCTCATAAGCCAAGTTGTTTCCTTCTCTGTTCCTCCCTGCGTGTCCTAGGATGCAGAGGGGATGGGCCTGGTTCTTCCTCTGACCGCCCAGCTGACCTCTGCCCTTCCCCAGCCTCGTCCACAACCTCCGGAGCCACAACTCCACTCCCTGTCGACTGTTCCTCCTCTCCCTCAGAGTCTGACTCTACCAAGGGCATGACACTGTCCATCCAGCCATCTATCTAAATCTATCTACACACCCGTCTGTCTGTCTGTCTGTCTGTCTGTCTATCTATCTATCTATCTATCTATCTATCTATCTATCTATCTATCTATCTATCTATCTATCTATCTATCTACCCACCCACCCACCCACCCACCCACCTACCTGTTCCAAGCATTGACACTATCCCTGTAGAATTACTAAGACCTGAATGATACCCTCTTTGTTAATTAATCGAATGGAAAAGTTATATATGCATGATATGTCGCTCTATGCACCTACCATGCTGAGGTTGCCACCACCGAAATGCAGTGGCTGATGTTTTGGCCTCCCAGGGCAATTCAATAGACACAATCTGTGGCTCCAAGAAAGACAAGAAGTCCAGTTCTCGTAGCAAAGTCCAGCTGATTCCATTGTCATTTGAATACTGGACCACAAGCCCTATGAATTAAAATGAAATAAAGCATCATTTTAAAGGCTCGGTAGCCAATGGGGGATCTAATGCCAATCTTAGGCCTTCCGATGATGCGACTTCTCCATGTCACAAACACAGAATCCATTACAGGTAGTCCTTGACTTACATCCATTCATTTAGTGACCATTCAAAGTTACAAAAGCCCTGGGGGAAAAAAGAGATTTGCTTTTGATAAGGTCCTCATACTTATGATGATTGCAGCATCCCCAAGATCTCTTGATCAAAATTCAGATGCTTGGTAGTTGGTAGTTGGGGTGTATTGATGATGGTTGCAGCACACCAGCCAGATTCTGATGTACACAGATAATGGGAGAAACCAGATTCACGTACGATCGTGGGATTAACTTAACAATGATAGATTCACTTAACGATCATGGCAAAAAAAAAGAAAGGTTGCAAAATCAGCCATGACTCAGTTTGCCGTGCTTACAAATGGAAATTCTACTCCCAATAGTGCAGGGGGTGTGAAACTCAATTTCATAGAGGGCCACATCAGGGTTGTGTTTGACCTCAGGGGTCCAGGGTGGGCATGGCCAGCTGTCAACTTATAAAATAATTCTATGGTCTTTTTGGAGTGGCCAACAGAAAGGGAGGAGGGAAGCAGTGCAGCAGCTTGCAAAACTGAAACTGCATTCCATAAATGTTTTCAGAGATAGTAACTAGGTGACCGAAATTTCTGCCCGCAAAATTCTAATTGGAGGGCATGATTGATGACACTTGGCTACGGATGTGATCATAGGAACAGCTGATCGTCGGGAGGGGAAATAAAGAAATACTTTAAGGAGTGACTGGGCGGGAAAGAATGCAGTCAGTGATGTCGGGCACACGCACGATGTTGTGCAGGCGCGAAAAGGACTGACTGGGTGGGGAGGGGAGGGGTGGGCGGAGAGGGGCGGGGCCAGCCAGGGACACGATTTGCCAGTTCTCTGAACTGTGCAAAATCATAACAACCGGTTCTATAGAACCGGTCTGAACCAGTAGAATCCCACCCCTGGTTATATAGCTAACAAAATTAAAATGAATTTACCTTCGTTCCTGGCTCGGGGTCTGTTGCAGTCTGTACCAGCTGTTTTGCTTCCAATTTGTACATAGAACTGAACTAGCCTGTTTTTTTTAAAAAAAAATAAAGTTTAAAAAGTTAGTTTGGAAAAGAAAAAACACATCTTTAACGGTTGGGAATTGTTCCATCACATATAATTTCCCATATACAAGTGCTATTTAGCATTTAATTTTATATACTGTAGACCCTTGTTCAGTTATTCCTAGAGTCTTCAAACTTGGCAAGTTTAAGTCTTGTGGACTCCAACTCCCAGAATTCCTCAGCTAACAGGACTGGAGGAGGAATTCTGGGAGTTGAAGTCCACAAGTCTTCAAGCTGTCAAGTTTGAAGACCCCTGATTATTACTCTTATAATGAACAACTGACTGAAAACGTGAATATTTCTGATGGTTGAATGAAGTCTGCACTATGATATTTTCAATTTCATGTAAACATATTTGGCAATGAGTATAACAGATAATCAGAGTTGGAAGGGACCTTGTAGGTCATCTAGTCCAATCCCCTTCTCAAGCAGGAGACCCTACAACATTTCTGACAAATGGCAGTCCAATCTTTTCTTGAAAGTCTCAAGTGATGGCACTCCCACAACTTCTGAAGGCAACTTCTGTTCCATGGGTTGATTGTTCTCACTGTCAGAAAGTTTCTCCTTATTTCCAGGTTGAATCTCTCCTTGTTCAGTTTCCATCCTTTATTCCTTGTCTGGCCTTTGGGTGCTTTGGAGAATAGCTTGACCCCTTCCTCTCTGTGGCAGCTCTTCAAATATTGGACGACTGCT